CACGCACGCACGCACCCCAGGCTGGCCTGTGACAGTACCTTCACTCACCCCTGCTCCCAAAGCCCTCTCTCCCGAGGACAGAGGAGCAGCACACACCCCGGGTTCCATGGGACACCTGCCTGGGCAGTAACACTCGCCCACACCCGTTTTCAGCAAAACGCTCCACTAGGAAAGCGCCTGTGACTGGCTGTGATATCATATTACAACTGTATTCGTATGAAAGTTATGCAAATACAGACTTTATGGCATCATTATCAAAGGTTAAAAATACAGAGACATTTCCACCCAGCAACACACATCTGCAGTCTCCCGCCTGACGTGTAGCGTGCACGATACAGCCCAGACATGGCTTTTTCTTATCTTTCTTTTCCCTTTTCTGTGGTACTGAGGACTGAACCCAGGACCTTTGCCTTGAGCTACACCCCCAGCCCCTTTTTATTGTGAGAGCTCTCACTAAGTCACTAAGTTGCCCATCAGATTTGTGATGCTCCCACCTCAGCCTCCCAGAGTGCTGGGATTACAGGTGTGCACCTCGGTACCTGGCTTTTTTTCTTTTTTCTTTCTTTTGCAGTGCTGGGGATGGAACCCAGAGCCTCACACACGAAGGCGAGTGCTCTGCTGCTACGCCACACCCCGCATAGCTTCTTCCTCAGGAAGCTGCAGGAGTGAGCCCCTTGCCCTGTGGGCCAGGATGAGTCTCTTCCCCTCCTTGACTGGGAAATGGAGTGGGATGCATCCCTCTGCCATGGCTCTGAGCTCAGGCTGGGCCACCCAACAGGGGAGTCCCCAGACTCACCTGCCTGGCCCTAGTCTGGGTAACCTGGTTCCCTGCCCTGAGTTTCTGGGAACCCCACAGCCTGTGGAGAAGGACTGGGGCTGGGGTCCAAACCGGGGGAAAAGGGAGCTCTCCCGGGTTCGCCTTCCTGCCAGGCCCAGCTCCCCCAGTCCCTGGCGACAGGAGCCCTGGGGACAGCCTGACATGGGGTCTCCCTGTCTTAGAGAGCAGGGTCTGGGGTGGGGATCCCTCCTGTCTCAGTTTCCCCTCTACTTAAAGTGCCTGTTTGCATCTGAAACATTTTCTGATTCCAAACCTGATATAAGATCTGAGGAAACCCCTCCCAGGTGCCTATGAATAGCTGAATAAGTAAATCCATCTACAGAGTGGGTACTAAGTATTTTCTAAAGAGAACATTTAGTGTCAATTTAGGGAAGACCTGACCCAGTGATTGGGGGCGGGGGGTAGTTCTGGAGATTGAACCCATGGCTTTTGCACTGAGCTATACTTCCAGCCCTTTTTTCCTTTTTAATTTTTATTTTGAGACAAGGTCTTGCTAAGCTGCTAAATTGTCTACTGGGCTCCAACTTGCAATCCTCCTCCCTCAGCCTTCCAGGATGCTGGGATTACAGGTTTGTGCGACCATGCCTGGCTCTGGTCCCATTTTAAAGCACGTAGGAAACACCCCAGAGTTCTATGGCAAGGAGGAACCAGGTTTCCAGCCTCCAGGCCCAACATGGAGTCACCCTGTCCCCTTCCCACCTTGCCCAGACCTGGCTGAAGCCAGACGGGGTGGCCTGGGCCTTGGGTCCATGTGGGGATTCGGGTGGACATTCTTGGCCCAAGAGACCTGCCTGATTCCTAAGTCCCTTCCGAGAAGAGGAAGGAGGGCCCCTTAGGCAGGCCAAGCCTCCCCCTCTCCGTCTCGGGCCCTTGCACCCTGGCCTCTGTATGGCAGGCGCTTCCCCTGTCCCTTCAGCCCACCTTCTAGACGACACGAGCTTCATGCAGTTCAAAGGTGACCAGGCTCCCTGGACTCCCAGGGGCTCCCGCTCCCCCTTCTGCATGAAGATGAAAAACCTAGTCTCCCTCCTTTGCTTCCTCCCCTGCAGCCAGCATCTAACCACTTCCTGCAGGCCCTGTGTCAGTGGGTGGGGCTCCTGCCCTGGTATCACTCCGTCTCCCTGCTGTCCCTGTGCCTGCCTCCAGTTGTACCCATTCCTACTTCTAATCCAGACACCAAATCTTTGTGGTTTAAAAACCATCTCATTGTGCATAAAGTGAGGGGCTGTTCAGCTCCTCTGAGCAGATAGCTCCAAGGCCCTTTCATTAACATCTGGGTTAGGAGCTGTCTTCTGGGCAAAAGTCTGCCACCAAGTGACACGCATTGTTCCTGCTTTCAGGGGCTGACTGCAGGCCAAGGCACGGAAGCTACAAAATCCCACAGGAGAAGCTGCTAGGAATGTCCCCAGCTACAAACAGACGTCATATACGGAATTACACATACTGAGCCTTTACATAGTGAGGATATAAAAATTCTGTACATGTTCCCCTAGCTGCACATGGTATAAATAGATGAAGACAATGTTGTATAAAAAGAAAAGTTATCCTGGGGACCCTGCCGCAGGGTCTACACCAAGGCACCTCTGCAGCCTGTGGTCCACATCTCCTTTGTCCAGGTGGAGACCCCGGAGAAGCCCTGGCACTGCTGGAGGTCGGAAGAGAAGGTCACTGGGCACCCGCAGCAGGCTAGGTGGGTGGGGGGCCATTGTAGTGGAGCATGAGCAGGAAGGAGCTGGCGAAGTTGTTGGCCTGGGTGCAGCTGAGGGCCTCCTCTCCAGCCGGCAGCAGGAAGAGCAGCAGCAGAAACAGCAGGAGCAACAGCAGCAACCAGAGCACCAGACAGCACGCCTTCCGGAGCAGGGAGCACGGACCATGCGCCCGCCGCACCTGTGAGACAGACACAGGATGTGAGTGGCTCTGCAGGCTCATCTGCCACGGGGCTGAGGTGAGGTTTGCCAGAATCACAGATCTCTGCAGTCTCCTCAAACCATTCAGGAGTGGAAGGAAGAAAATAAATAAAATCACAGGCAGCACCCAGTGGACACATGAATCCTTGCCTACCGTATAGACAGCCCCCAACCCCCTATGGTCTGGCACAGTGATTTCTCAACTTCACAGCGATGTGAAGCCAAGACACAGGGGAGATTATGATCTGGGTTTTGATCTGTTCACGGGCTACAGGCATCTCGAGAAGCCAGGCAGCAGCAGTGAGCCACAGCTCCCAGGTGGCCCTTCGGTCACAGAATCGGACCAGGAGTGGGCTGCGTGGCTAATCGGCCGTGTGGGGCGGCGTGTGTGACGCATGTGTTTCCCTGGCACCACATTCTCAGCTGATACAGGACACGACCCCATCAGGCACCTGTAGAAGAGTACCCACCGTGAATCTTGAAGTCAGTCGTCTTTTAACCTCAAATTTCTCACCTAGAAGTAGGGGTAATAATGGCGGCTCCCTGGCAGAGCTGCTGTGCTGGTGAAATGCAAGAGAGCCTGGCATAGGGTGGGCACTCAGCTTCTGTCCTCATCAGTGTGCATCTTGGCATCACCACCACATGAAGCATCACCACCACCATCACCAGCTGGCCAGTCCCTGCCGTGTGCCCGGTCATTGCCTTCCGCTCTTCCTGCTCTCCCCGCTTTCTCTCTCCCTCCTCATCCCCTTTCTCCTTTTCTTCCTCATCATCACATCACTTCACCATCCTCACCATTGCTGTCACCCAAAGATCAGGCTCACAGGCCCCAGCCCCTCCACCATGTGTGCCCATAGGTGTCCCCTACATCCTGCGGGGCAGGAACTGGCTGGGCATGGCTTCCGGGATGTTCCAGCTGCCAAGGAATGGAGAGACCCTTATAGCCAAGGCACGGTATGGTGTGGCGCAGGCACTTGGCTCCTGGGAACCTGCGGCATGTGCTCTAATCTAGACTCTGTCACACACCAGCTGTAGTACCACCCTCAGTTAGCACTGTTAGTCGCAGTGCTAGTACTATTAGCATGTGTGCTGTTAGTATTATTAGTAAAAACAGCCCCAGTGCTGTTATTATAGAATATATCTGCTGGCTCCCTGTGGACCAAAGGGTCACCAAACACCTCTGTCCATGACAATGGTAGTGATGATGAATGTGACGGATGCTGGCACTGGTGGCAATAGTGTTTGATGGTGCTGGTGACGGAGATAATAATGGCGGTGGAGATGATGTTCATGGTGGTGAGAGTGATGGTGATGATGATCATGGTGATGATAATAGAATTGATGAAGATAATAATGGTGGTGTTGGTGATGATATTCATGGTGATGGTGATGATGTCCATGGTGGTGAGGGTGGAGGTGATAATGGTAATAGTGGTGATGATCATGGTGATGGTGATGGTGATGATGGTGGTGATGATCATGGTGATCGTGAAGGTGATGGTGATGATGGTGGTGATGGTCATGGTGATGGTGATGATCATGGTGATGATCGTGGTGATGATCATGGTGATGGTGATGATCATGGTGATGGTCATGGTCATGGTGATGGTCATGGTGATGGTGATGGTCAT